CTGTTTGCTCTGACAACACACCAGGCGGTAAGTCTCGATGAATGAAGTCTTTACTGCGGTTGTACTAGTGACTCGGTGGCACACCTGTGCCTGCTTCCTCCTGTAGTTCTGGGGTAAAGAACGAAACAGATAGCCATGGGAAATGGGTGAGGAGCAAGTCCAAAAGTTGTTTGAAATTCCTCCTGCTGGGAGATTGGCTTTTCTCTCTAAGTTAAAAAAACAACAACAACAACAAAAAAAAAAACATACCCGGGATGGCAACTCTCAACTACACGTACATATTTTTAGCAGAAGAGTCTATTATTTTAAAAAAGGAAGGAAGGAGAAGAAATATTTGAGTTATACCTGGTGGCTCGAGCTTGTAATCCCAACACTTGGGAGGTGGAGGCAGGAAGATCAGGAGTTCAAGACCAGCCTCGGCTATATATTGAGCTTGAGGTTAGCCCAGGTTTCATTGAAACTCTGCTAAGAAAGAGAATTAAAGGCTTGTGCTATCATGACTGGACCAAAAATGGATGTTTAAAGGATGAGGGGATATGTCTTAGTAGTAGAACACATACTCGACACCCTGGGTTTAATCCCAACACACACACACACACACACACAAACACAGACACACACACACACACACACACACACACACACACACACACACACACACACCATTGGCTGTGATAATTTGGGTCTATAATTCCAGCACTGGGAAGCTGAGGTAGGAGGATCAGGAATGTGACTCTAGCCTGGGCTACACAGCGTGAACCTGTCACGAACAGCAAAAAAGTTGGAGTAATGCTGGACAAGTTGAGAACAAGGCCGGCAACACTAGACCGGGAGTTATCCTGGGTGGTGTGCCTAACCCAGGGCCAGGCCACTCTTGGCCTTATCACTGCCTAGGAATGATCCTTGAGTCACTGAACAAGCAATTGGCAAGCACCTCCTGTTTGCCAGAGACTGGGTTAGGTCATGTGTGCACAACAAATGGGGTGCAGATCCTGTCCTTGGACAGCTCAGAGAGGTCAAGTCCCACTTTCCAAACTTTAACCAGCTTTTTAATGGCTTAGGCTGCTCATTAAAAAAAAAAGTATAATTTATTTCTTTTTTGGGGGGGTGGGGTGGAGGTGGGGGAAGGTTCTTGAGACAGGGTTTTTCTGTGTAACAGCTCTGGCTGTCCTGGATCTCTCTTTGTAGACCAGGTGGCCTCAAACTCACGAAGATCTGCTTGCCTCTGCCTCCTGAGTGCTGAGATTAAAGGCATGCACCACCACTGCCCGGCAAAAGTATAATTTCTGAATCTTGCCCCAGAAAAGCCCACTCAAGAGGCCTGTGAGCAGGCCTGGAAACTGGCCCCAGGTCGGCGTGAATCTGATAGGAGAGATAGATCATTCAGTCCAATAGCCACAGAGCTTGGTGAATAAGGCCAGAGGTGCAGAAGGACTTCTGAGCACTGGGAGGGTGGGCAGGGCACCCAAGGGCAGGCCTGACGTCTGTAGGGCATACCTGCAGAGGCATGAGACAGGTTCTCAAGGACAAGGCACAGCTGTCTGGCATGGGGTGGCACCATTTATTCAGGCAGACTGATAGGAGGCGGTGAGACCCGCCAGGAGGAGGAAGTGGGCAGGGCGAGGCTGCAGTCAGGAGGCATAGCAATGACAGCTGGCCGGTCACCCTGCCCAAAGCCAGGCCTGTGGCCTCATTCCGCTGTCACCCGCCCTTCGGGGTGGCTGCTGCTTCCTTGGGTAGAGGCCCTACAGCTTAGAGAAAAGTAGCTCATGGAGAGGGGCCACCACTGGCCCCAGGATTGCTGATTCCTGTATGATGAGGATGGAGGAGGAGTGGGTTAGCATCCTGTGCAAGAGGTAAATCCCAAAAGACGACGGTTGACTGGCTTTAAGGGACAAGACAGATCACATGTCTCTAGCTTGGAGACTCTGGACACTCCATGCCCCAACAGTGACAGTGAGGAGAAATGAGCCTAAGGAATATGGTGCTTGGAGCCCCTTGGGAGATTGTAAGCACTCAGGCTGCTGGAGTGAGACTAAAGATCGGTGGGAATGCGACATGGAGACTGTCCTAGTCAGGGTTATTATTGCTGTGATGAAACACTATGACCAGAAGCAATTTGGGGAGGAAAGGGTTTATTTGGCTTACACTTACTGTTCATCACTGAAGGAAGTGAGGACAGGAACTCAAACAGGGCAGGAACCTGGAGGCAGGAGCTGACGCAGAGGCCATGGAGGGGTGCTGCTTACTGACTTGCTCCTTATGGCTTGTTCAGCCTGCTTTCTTATAGAACCCAGGACCACCAACCCAGGAATGGCAGCACCCACAGTAGGCTCCCATCAATTAGTAATTAAGGTTACTGGCTGGGTGGTGGTGGTGGTGCACGCCTTTAACCCCAGCACTCAGGAGGCAGAGGCCAGCCTGGGCTACAGAGTGAGTTCCAGGAAAAGGCACCAAAACTACACAGAGAAACCTTGTCTCGAGAAACCAACCAAACAACCAACCAACCAACCAACCAAACCAACCAACCAACCAAACAAACATAAAGAGTGTGAAGTTCTAGGCAGTTGTAGCAATTGATGACTAAATAGTGGTGTGTGGGGGTGGGGGGTGTCTTTTGTGTCCTTTGAGGGTTTTTGGTTTGGGGGCTATTTTTGCTGTTGTTTAGAGTGATGTAAAGGGACCCTCATCTAACACTTGGTCTACAGTTAGAAAACATCACAGGAAGGCAGGGGCAGGCACAGAGAAGCTCTGAAAGCAGAAACTTTCGGCTAATGTATGATTTACACACACGTAACTCGATTGATAAAGACTTTTTGGGAAGTGAAAAAAAAGGAAGGAAAGAGATGGGGGGAGAGGGAAGACAAACAGGCAGACAGACACAAGAGAAAGCATATGCAGAGAAGGTTTGAAGAACATTTTGCACCAGAGGTACATAGTGGCCCCCAACACAATGGCGTCCAGTGATGCTCTGCATGGGTTTGGCGTGAACTTCTCATCCATTTGGTTTCTATAAATGATCCTCCCCCTAGTATAAGTGTATTCATTTTTATCAGTTGTCCTGGAGATGGATCCCCGTGGCTTGTACATATGAGGAACATACTCTACCACTGAGCAACTACAAATGGGCTTTTTCATCCAGGCAAACAACTCTGGTTCTTTTTTGTTTTGCTTTGTTTTTTGGTTTTTTGTTTGTTTGTTTGTTTTTTTGGGACAGGGTTCCTCTGTGTAGCTTTGGAGCCTGTCCTGGATCTCACTCTGTAGACCAGGCTGGCCTTGAACTCACAGAGATCCACCTGGCTCTGCCTCCCGAGTGCTGGGACTAAAGGCGTGCACCACCACCGTCTGTCTTATTTTTTATTTTGAGACAGGCTCTACTAACTGAGTTACCCAGGCTGGCCTTGAACTTTCTACTTTCCTGCCTCGGTCTCCCCAGTAGCTGTGATTACAGCTTGCCTCAGCAGGCTTGACTTCTCTTACTTTGTATTTAACACTTGCTATACGGTCCAGCCTGGCCTCTACTTCCCCATCTGTCTGCCACCCTACCAAGTGCTGGGATTGGAAGCATGAGGCACCATACCAGTCCAAGAGATGATCAATATATTCTTCTGAAGTTCCCAGAAAAAAAGAAAAGCCATACCTTGCTAAAGACTCCAAGGGCAACTGACCGAACTTAGTGCTTGTGGAGAGTTAAATAAAATGTTGCAGTTTAGAGCCAAATTATCTTGGGCTATTTTTTTTTTTTTTGGTTTGGTCTGAGGACCAATCCAGGGTCTTGCGCTTGCTAGGCAAGCGCTCTACCACTGAGCTAAATCCTCAACCCCTCTTGGGCTATTTTCAGTCCCTTTTTATCTTTCTTGTGTGTGTGCATGTGTGTGTGTGTGTGTGTGTGTGTGTGTGTGTGTGTGGTGTTCATGCTCATAGTTGCATGTGTGTGGGCATGTTTGTGGGCATGTGTGAGCGCAATATGTACGTACGTATGTATGTACGTACGTATGTATGAATGTATGTATGTATGTATATGGAATCTCTTGCTAAACTGTAGCTTGTTGTTAGTCCGGCTAGCCACCTTGCTAGCTAATTTCCATGTCTACCTCCAGGGAGCTTAGATTACATATGGTCTGCCATTCCCACCTAGCAGCCCTATATACAGCCCTTCTGAAGATTGTCCACCCATGTGTCGGATCAAACAGCCTTGCCTATCGAAACCTTTACAGTATACCCCATAGCAGACCACCGACTTTTCGCCAATCCAAACGCTGAGAATGCTATCATCGAAGGCCTCGGGCCGAGTTCCCGACTTGCTGCGATCCCTGAGGCCTTACTTGGTAATAGCCTTTCTTTGTTCTGTAGCTAATACAGTTTCACGTAACGGCATCCACGGTGGGACACGTCTTCCAGGGCAACCTCAGTCCTCGTTCCTGGATCGTGATCACTCCTATTTGGCTCAGAAATAAACTGGGTCTTAACTCCCTCCGAGGCGAGCACTGTTTTGTGTCTACAGGACCAAGGCAATGAGCTCCCCTGGAGCAGGGCTCCGGTTACTGGTAACTTTAGGACGAAGTCTGCCTTTGTCCTCAAGCCTTTTGCGGCAGCGCCTCGGGTTGTTCACCGAGAAAGCCTTCGCAGAACCGGCTACTTCTGTTTCGTAGGGGTGAGGGATCTGTCGCGGTAGTCTCACTAGTGGGTTGCCTGTGACGCGCGTCGATAGCATTGGGGTTTCAAGCTTACTCAATACCCGGCCTGTTTGTTTGGAATTGGCAGTCGGCTTTGTCCTCAACGTTCCCGTGTGGTTGGAAAGGGCGCGCGGGGGGGGGGGGGAGCAGAATCTGGACGGCTTCAGAGAGCCTGGCGCTGCCATCTGGGGCTGCGCACCCGCGCGAGTCCCTGCAGCCGCAGCAGCCGCCGCCGCAGCAGCCGCAGCAGCGGAGCTCTGGGTACCACCCGCCTCCTACATCCCTATTTTTAGCCGCCGCCGCCGGGGCCACGTGACGGAGGAGGCGGTACAGCGGGCGCCCCGCCCTCGCGCCGCCGCCGGCCGCGCAGCATCCCGCAGAGCGCCGAGCCCGCGCCCGGGGCCCTGCGGCTGCGGCGATGAAGATCTGGAGCTCGGAGCACGTGTTCGGGTGAGCGGGCTGAGGGCTGCGCTGGGAAATGCGTGGACCAGGCCGGAGCCGCGCGTCCTCGGGAAGGGGCGGGGATCCGGGAGAGGCAGGCGCTCCGGGTGCGGGATCGCGGGGTGGGGAGCGGGGAGCCGGGCGGGAGGTGTGCGGCGCAGGCCTCTGCATCCTCAACCCGGCCTCTGCGGGGCTGCAGGCTGCACCGCGGGGGCGTTGCGACCGGTCCGGAGTTGCGCAGCGGGTGTCACCGACCATGCCCGAGGGGTTTGAGGCTGGGGGAGATCTAGATGGGAGGAAGGCATTTGGGGCGTTTGGTCCTGAATACCTATGCATACGGACGCCTCAAAGTCCCCCCGGAGACACCGCAAACTGCCTCAAGTGTCCTCCCGACCCAAGGGCACCTTCCACTCTTGTCGAGCGTTTTAATAGCTTTTGCAAAGAAAAAAGATTTTTGAGAGTTTCTGATCCTGCCTAGAGAACCTTTTCGTTGAGCAGGGGGTGGAGGTGGGGAGACTGCATGAAACAGATTTGTCATCCGTTGCCTTTTAAAGTGTAAAATTTAATAAAAATGTACCACCTGGCTTCAGAACTTCTGACTTCTTTATGTTTAGTTTTTGATGGTGCTGGGGATCGAACCCAGTATTTCGAGCCTGCTAGAAAAGTATTCCATTACTGAGCTACAGCATCCACCTTTGGGGGGGAAAAAAAACTTTTTAAAAAGGGAAACCTTGCTGGGCGGTGGTGGCGCACGCCTTTAATCCCAGCACTCGGGAGGCAGAGGCAGACAGATAGATCTCTGTGAGTTCGAGGCCAGCCTGGTCTACAGAGTGAGTTCCAGAACAGGCTCCAAAGCTACACAGAGAAACCCTGACTCGAAAAAACAAAAAAACAAAAAAAAAAAAAAGGAAACCTCAGAACGGGTGGTATGTATTTTTTGGTAAAGTTTGCAGCCTTTCTGAAGGAGGTTCCCCCAAGATTCAGGCATAATAATTTGTACTGTCTGAATGCAGAGAGGGGAAGGAAAGCCAGTAAGTACAGGGATGCCCGAGTGTTGATTGTCTGAGACCCTGTGAGAGCTGCTCCCAGGGTCCTGAAATGTGGACCGACCCTGAAACCACTGTTGGACATTTTTGACCATTTTGCAGCTTCTGCCCTTTTATTTTTTTTAATCCTATTGTTTTTGAATTTTGTAATCTCTAATGTGTTACCACCCGTTTTTAACGTTGTGGTGTGTGTGTGTGTGTGTGTGTGTGTGTGTGTGTGTGTGTGTGTGTGTGTGTGTGGGGTTTTCTTTCTTTTTTTTTTTTTTTTTTTTGAGACAGGGTCCTACTGTGTAGCCTTAGCTTGCTATGTAGACCAGGCTGGCCCTGAGCTCACAGAGATCTGCCTGCCTCTGCTTCTCCAGTAGTGGGATTAAAGGCATATGCCACTGCAGTTGGCCCTTTTTAGTACTTTTTAAATTACATTTAATTAATTACATGTGGTGTGTGTGTATGTGTGCCAGTGTGCAAATGGCAGTCAGGACAACATGGGGTGACTATTCTCAACCCCTACCTTGTGGATCAGGAGGTCCAACTCAGGTTTGACGTCAGGCATCTTTAGCTGCTGGGCTGTCTTGTTGGCTCCCAGATACCCATTTTAAAGGATATTCTACAGTTCTGGGCTGGGGAGATGGCTCACTGGTTAAAGTCCTTTGCCATGCAAGTGTGAGGACTCAGATCCCCAGAACTCATGTGAATATCAGTGAGTACCCCATCCGGCCTGTGATTCTAGCCTTGTTAGGTGGAGATGGGGATGCCTGGAGCAAGCTAGCTAGCAAAGCTCGCCTGGTTCAGTGAATAACACCTAAGAATGCTCAAAGAGGATGCTCTACATCAGCCTAGGGCCTCCACAAGCATGCACACCCCAGGGCACCTATGCATAGCACTCACACTCACGCACGCCACGCATGAGAAGAGACAGAAGTTAAATGTATTATACAGCTGAGTACTTTTTAGCCTATTTACAGAAATTAGGTTTTTTCTTGCCGATTGTGCAGCCATCACCATGGTGCCAGCTTTGGAACATTTCTGTTATCTTCTAAAGAGATACAGAACCTGGTGTTTGAGATGTACTTCTCATTCCTACCCCGGGCAACCACTGCTTTGTTTCTGTAGATTTGTTTTTTCTGGATATCTGATATAGTAATACAAAAACAAAACAAAAAATAGTCATACAATATGTGGTGTTCTGTCTCTGGTTTCTTTTGCAAAGCATCTTTTTATTTTATTTTTTTAGGCTCACCCTGTGGTAGCATGTGTTGGTTCTTGGTTTTGCGTCCCAGGTACCCTGCCAGTGTCTGACGCTGGCACTGTTCACAGGGAGGAAGCTCACACAGAGGCCAGGTGTCCTTCCAGAGTAAGTCCAGGAATAGGCGTCTGGTGGCCGTCAGCACACTCACTGCTGTAGAGCTTTGAGGAGATGGATCTGTGGCTAGCTTGCTTTCTAGCCAGGAGCCAGAAAGAGAAATTAACCTTCCAGATAGGCTGAAGATGTCCACTTTTCCCTCTTCAGTTTGTTTCTTCTTTTTTTTTTTTTTCAACTAAGACAGCCAAAATGGTAAATTTGGTGAACATCCTTCCAAAGGTTTGTGCCGAAAGCCGTGTGTCTACATATATGTATATTTGCCAAATACATCATCTCGTAAGGGTCTTTTGGCAGTTTCTTTTTCTTCCACAAGTGTGTTTTTGAGATCTATCCAAGTTGAGATACATATCTATGGATATAAATTGATATACATATAGCTCGATTATATTAGCTGAACAATCACCCCCTTTATGACTGTGCTATAATTTGCCCTGTCTCTTATTGAAAGAACACATGTGTTTCTGCTATACTGATTACCTGTGATGATCAATATTGGCTGTTACCTTGGATTGAGAGACATCTGGAGATGAGTAAGGCACACCTCTGGGTATGTTTGCAAGGGCTTTTCCATACAGTGGTTCTCAACCTTCCTAATGTGACCCCTTAATACAATTCTTCATGTTGTGGTAACCCCCGCCCCACTAAAAAATTATTTTCATTGCTACTTCATAACTATAATTTCGCTGTTATGAGTCGTAATGTAAATATCTGATATGCACATGGTCATAGGCGACCCCTGTGAGAGGGTCGTTAAGACCCCAAAGGGGTCACCACCCACAGGTTGTGAACCACTGCCATAGGAGATTAGTTAGTTTGTGAGGTCTCTGATCTAAGCCGTGGTGTAATTCGTTGAAAACGGGAGATGGTGGAACCATGTAAGTTGGAGCGTTGTTGGAGACAGTCACCTGAGGTGTGTCATTGAAGGGCTAGGTCTTGGCCTCGACCCCTTTTCTTTCTTTCTTTTTTTTTTTTTTTTTTTTGGTTTTTCGAGACAGGGTTTCTCTGTGTAGCTTTGCGCCTTTCCTGGAACTTGCTTTGGAGACCAGGCTGGCCTCGAACTCACAGAGATCCGCCTGGCTCTGCCTCCCGAGTGCTGGGATTAAAGGCGTGCGCCACCACCGCCCGGCTCGACCCCTTTTCTTAATCCTGCTTTCTGTCTTGTCTTGAGGTGAGCTGTTGTGCTCTACTCCATGTCCTCTGCCATTATGTTCTGTCTCATCACAGGCACAGGAGCACCAGAGACAAGTGACCATGAGCCCAAGTCAATCTTTCCTTTTCTTAAATTGTTTCTTTGGGGTATCTGTCAGAGTGGCTGACAAAGGGGCCACTTAGGCCAGCAGATCTTAGGCTGTTCAGCCATAGAACTACTTTACACTCTTGGAAATATTGAGGCCTTCAGTTTTTGCTTATGTTGATTATATCTTTTTAAAAAATTATTTATTTATGTTTTTTTTTTATGTATGAGTGCTGTCTATATGTATACCTGTATGCCAGAAGAGGACATCAGATCCCATTAGAGGTAGTTGTGAGCCACTGTGTGAGTGCCGGGAATTGAACTTAGGACCTTTGGAAGAGCAGCTAGTGCTCTTAACTGCTGAGGCATCTCTCCAGCCTCTTGATTATCTCTTTTAATAGTTATGATATCAGAGAGCCAAGTATACTGGAATAGCACTTGTATACTGTGTACTGAAAGCCATGGATAGTGTAACCCAGCACTTAGGAAGGTGAGGCACACCTCGGCTGTATACAGAGACCCTATCTTAAAAAACAACCAACCAACTCTGTATCAGAAATTTCAACTGAAATCTTAAAATACTCATTACAATGAACAATAATAAACCTTTTTTTGACACAGGGTTTCATGTCGTCCAGGCCGGCTCACTATGGAGCTGAGGATCACTTTGGACTTTTGATCCTCTGTGTCCATTTCCTGAGTGCTTAGGTGATAGGCCCCTATGCCTTGTTGTGAGCCTATTCTGTTGACAATTTGAAGTGAAAATTGGGGTGAAGATGGTAGAGTGCTTGCCTGGAATGTGTGAAACCCTGGGCTCAATCCCCAACACCATAAACTTGATGTGGTGGTACATGCTGTCATCCCAGCATTCGGGAGGCAGAGGCAGGAAATTCAGGAGTTCAAGGACAGCTGAGCACACATGAGACCCTCTCTCTTTCTTTTTTTTTTTTTTTAAGATGTATTTATTTATGCATATGAGTGCTCTATGTGCACGTTGTATGCCTGCATGACAGAAGAGGGCATCAGATCCCATTATAGGCGGTTGTGAGCCACCATGTGGGAATTGAACTCAGGACCTCTGGAAGAGCAGCCAGTGTTCTCAACCGCTAAGCCATTTCTCCAGCCCCCCCCTCCCCAGACCCTTTCTCAACAATAAAAACCAGAACAAAACAAAACAAAAAACCTTAATAATCGTATTTTCCAAAAACTGGAGGACTGGTACTTTAAAAATAATATGCATGATATCTGGATTTCTGTAGCTTGATTCTCTTATCTACCTTTGCATCCAGTGTTTTGCAATATATTGCCTTGGTTGAGGTGTGTGGGTAAAGTCCAGCCTCACACAGATAGGGAGCTGGAAAGGGTAAGTATGTATTTGTACCTTTCCTTTACTGCTATGGCCAAAAAATGATACCTTCTTAAAAAGTAGTAATATAAAACTGGGAGCAGAGAACAGAAAAACAACTCGTGCTGAGTGAATCTCTGCCTCCCGCCCGAGAGACACCTGCACCCATTCTTTGGATTGTGTGTGCTCCCCGGGTTTGTAGTATGGGACAGTTATGCTCATGGTAATGGACACAAGTTTTCTAAAATTTCAGCTTTTGTTCAAAAGCTCAGGTTCTATCTTTGGCAACAAACACTAAAGATGCTTGCCTTAACATGACAGGCTCACTCACTCCCTTAGCTTCCCAGAAAACATCTGCCAAGTCCCCAAGTTTGAGCCCACAGTGTGTGCATTGTTCTCCCAAGGGCAAGCCGTGGGTGGTGAGAGGCGGTGGTGAATTGGTGGGCTCCCAACACGACAGCCCGATAGACCCAGGGCAGCCTGAGAGCGGCTTGTTCTACAGAAGGCTTTCTGGCACACACCCTGTTCTCTTGCAGATTGTCAAGGAGTCCTCAGAGGTCAAGTGATGATAAAATTAATGACATTGCCATTTCATCACATGCTCCTGCGAGACTCCTGGGCTGTTTCCCTGAGTGCGTGTGTGAGCAGCAGTGACAGGCTGTGGTCTGGAGCCTGGCCTGCAATGCTGGGAGACTCTAGCACTTAAAGAGCCATCACTGTGAATGCTGATAACGCTAAGAGAGTCAGTCATGTCCCAGCCACACTGTGACAGCCACCTCCTAAGAGGGTCCAGAGCCTCCAGGGCGTGGCCCACACTCTTCAGAACCCGATGGAGGTAGGGTATAGCTGAGGTTTTGGTCCTGTGACTGCCTCTTAACCACTCTACCCCTAAACCTTCAACTCTCCAGCTTTTAGAAATAAGCAAACTCGGGCCGGGCGGTCTACAGAGTGAGTTCCAGGGAAGGCGCAAAAGCTACACAGAGAAACCCTGTCTCGAAAAACCAAAAAAAAAAAAAAAAAAAAAAGAAAAGAAAAGAAAGAAAGAAGAAGCAAACTCGGAAAGAGCAGAGTCCTGGACACACGGTGTGTCCCTGGGCTAACTGGTCCTCTTACTGCTTGCTTGGTTTCACGTGCATTCCCACTTTGGTCTTTGGCCTGGATGATTTAGGCAAATCTTGGACATCAGTTTCTACCACCCTGCCTTGCCTGGGGTTCTCCTAGCATGTGCGATGACTGATCTTGATTGTTGAATTCACTGGCTCTTGAATCAACTCAAGTTGATTCAATCAAGTAAGCTGCTGGGCACGCCTGCGCGGGGATTTTCATGATCGGGTTTTTTGAAGGGGGAAGATTCGCCCGATGGCCACACAGGTCAAAGGACACGGAAGAGGGAAGCTTTGCACTCTGTCTGCTTGCTTTCATTCCTGCTGGCAAGTTCATCCTTCCTGTTGCTGTGGCAACCCTTCACTGACATTAGAACCAATTCTCCGGGATCCCAGCACAGCCTGAAGACCAGCAGCTCCCCAGGAGTCCTCCAGGCCTTCGGCACCAGATTCTCCAGTGTGAGACAGCCATTATGGGAGTATCCAGACCATATCATGTAAGCCAATCTAATAGATCCCATATCCAGTACACATATTATATCAGGAGTTCAAGGCCAGCTGAGCACATATGAGACCCTCTCTCCACAATTAAAAAAAATTAAAACCAACTGTATTTTCTAAAAACTGGAGGACTGGTACTTTAAAAATAATATGCACGATTTCTGGATTTCTGTAGCTTGACTCTTTTATCTACCTCTGCATCCGGTGTTTTGCAATATATTTATTGCCTTGGTTGAGGTGTGTGGATAAAGTCCATCCTTACATAGATAGGGAGCTGTATATATATATATTTATATAATATATAAATATAATATATATAATATAATAAAATAATTCATATAAGCCGGACGGTGGTGGCGCACGCCTTTAATCCCAGCACTTGGGAGGCAGAGCCAGGTGGATCTCTGTGAGTTCGAGGCCAGCCTGGTCTATAGAGTGAGATCCAGGATAGGCACCAAAACTACACAGAGAAACCCTGTCTCGAAACAACAACAACAACAAAACAACAACAACAACAACAAATTCATATATATTACACACACACACACACACACACACACACACACACACACACACACACACACTCTATCAGTTCTCTTCCATTAGAGAACTCTAATACAGCATGGAAGCCAGGGTCCATCCTTCCACCTGCTCTCTCTGGTTCCAGGCAGACTCTGGTATGGATGCTTGGGACCATTCCCGAATGAATGGCAACAGAAGACTCCCTTCCTTTGGGGTAGGACTCAGTTGCACCATGTCCCAGCGTATAGCTGGGACTCCGCCTCTTGAGAATGGTGTCCATCTAACTCCTCGTCTGCCTAAACATGGCGGAGAGCGCTTTGTGCCCTTGAAGCTTCTGTAGGCAATGACCCAGCAGATGCTCCTGGGAAGCGCTCCTGTGGCGAAGGCCAGCCAGGGCCCTTCTCAACACCGCATGGTACCAGGCTTGCTGGCTGGCTGTATGTTTGTATTTCCTTCAACCAGGGGGTGCAGTATTAACTTTTGTGCCTAGACTTTGCCACTTTATTTTATTTACTTTTTTTTTTTTTTTTTTTTTCCAGACAGGGTTTCTTTCTGTAGCCTGGGCTGCCCTGGAACTTGCTCTGTAGACCAGGTTAGCCTCAAACTAGAAATCTCCTGCCTCTGCCCTCCCTGCTGGGATTAAAGGTGTGGGCCACCAAACCCGGCTGGACTTCGTCACTTTAACTGCTGATAATTCCAGTTCCAGGGGACCGGATGCCTTCTTCTAGCCTCCATGGGCACCACACACACACCGGTGCACATATAAACATACAAATAAAACACTACACACATAAAATCTTTAAAAAATAAAGACGTTTTGAGGCAGTGGTGGCGCACGCCTTTGATCCCAGCACTCTGGGTTTGACAGGAGCATCCGAACTTTATTCAAACTTCTAAGTGGAACAAGGCTCGCAGCAATTCAGGTTTTTTTTTCTTTTTCTTTTTCTTTCTTTTTTTTTAATGTGTATGAGTGTCTTGCCTGCATGCATGTTTGTGCACCATGTGTGGCCTCGAACTCAGAGATCCACCTGCCTTTGCCTCCTTAATGCTGGGATTAAAGGTGTTTTTAAGCCGGGCGGTGGTGGCGCACGCCTTTAATCCCAGCACTCGGGAGGCAGAGCCAGGCGGATCTCTGTGAGTTCGAGGCCAGCCTGGGCTACCAAGTGAGTTCCAGGAAAGGCGCAAAGCTACACAGAGAAACCCTGTCTCGAAAAACCAAAAAAAAAAAAAAAAGTGTTTTTAAAAGGTTTTAGCTGTGGGGCTGGGAAGCTCAGTGGTTAAGAGCACTTGCTACACGTAGAGGACCTGGGTTCAGTTCCCAGCTCCCACACGGCAGCTTACAACCATTTGGAAATCCAGTTCCAGGGGATCTGGAACTGACTTCCACAGGCACTAGGCACACGCGTGGTGCACAACCGTACATGCAAGCAAGACACTCAGACACTAAAAAAAAAAAAAAAAAAAAAAACTTGAATTGCTTCAAGCCACGTTCCACTTAGAAGTTTGAAAGAAGTGCAGACGCTTCTCTCAAATCCCGACTGTAGGCTGAAGATACCACGAGTCAAAAATCCTGGGGGAATGGCTGGGCGGTCAAAAAGCACGTACGGCTCTTGTAGGGGACCCGGGTGGGGCTGCTCACAACTGCCTGTAACTCCTGCTTCAGCGGATCTGACGTCCTTTTGTTCTGTTCTGAAAGTGAAAAACGATGACCGAGAGATACACATTTGTACCGTTATAAAGTCGATCATGTCCTACACTCAGTCAGCTGGGACCTGTCCTTAGTTGGGTCTTGGTAGCATTGAGCATGTGGGAACAAAAGCCTGCTTGGGTACACTTGGGTGTTCCGCGTGGATGTCCTTCAACATACCACGCTACCTACCGGATAGCTGGGCGGTCAGGTGGAAGTCAGGGTCCAGCCTGCAGAAAGGACAGCGGCCAGCGTTTTTTCCAGCAAGGTGCAGACAGGGAGACCTGTCTCACTGCTGAGAAGTCCCCGCAAAAGGTTTCCACCTCGTGTGGGCTGGAGGAGAGCCAGGTGAGAAAAAACCTGAGGTCCCCTAAGCTTGATGGCTCTGCATAGGCCCAGCACAGATTTGGGGAGACCTGGGCTCAGACAGAACCTGGGACAGCCTTCCCTGCATAGACACAGGAGCCTCAGCCTCAGGGCCACTTCCTTGGCTGATTGTGTTTTCTTGCCAGCCATCCCTGGGATACGGTGATCAAGGCTGCCATGCGGAAGTACCCAAACCCGATGAACCCGTGCGTGGTGGGCGTGGATGTGCTGGAGCGCAGCGTGGACGGCTGTGGGCGCCTGCACAGTCTGCGCCTGCTCAGCACCGAGTGGGGGCTGCCGGTCCTCGTGCGTGCGGTGAGCCTCCCTGCGTGGCCGCCCGCACTTACTGCCAGGGATGCCAGGAATGGTTGGGGCAAGGTCCCTGCAGTCGTGCACCCCCTTGTCCTCGATTGGATTGTCCGTGGGTCCCCATTCTGCTTTCCGGGAAGGACACTAGTCACTCAGGGTTAAGTGAGCTGGGTGGCCCTTCTTCAGTGACATCCGCGAAGGCCCAGAATCTCACATTTTGTAATGCTGCAGTTAGACCTTTTACATAGGGACTTCAGGTAGACACAGCCCAGCCCATCCTCGCTCTTCAGAGCCCGGGATGGGGTCCGGTGGAGAACTGTGAGATTGGAACAGACAGGACAGCTCTCCCCTGCGTGGTTGCACACTGACCTCCCGCTACTCAGAACCCAGGTCCCTACATGGCCCTAGAGTCTCCAGCTGTCTTGTGGCTTCTTGGCCACTCCTGGATCTTATGTCAGGACGTTAAAAAGTGTGCTGCGGGCTGATTCTTCATGTCAGAGCTCTTGCCAGCAGAGGAACCTCTCTTCTCAGGACCCCCGGGGTTCCCTGGTTACATTTTTGTCAAAACATTCACTACTGTCGTGTGTTCAACTCTTAAATCCGTTTTCTAATATCTACCAGGGGGTTGACTCTTCCCTCACCGCTGACTCCACAGATAGCATTTGTTGTAAAGAAAAGAGTAACTGGACTTCAGCATGTCATTATACTAGTTTTGTTTTGTCTCTTAGATTTTGGGAGCCAACAGGACCTTGACATACATCAAAGAGCGCTCTGTTGTGGATCCGGCTGCAAGGAAAATGGAGCTGTGTTCCACCAATGTAAGCAGAGGTCTAAGCTGAGAAAGGTGCTTAATGCTTCTAGGCGACTGTGCTAATGCCTCCCTTCAACTATTTCCGGCTTGCCTTTTGCTCTAAGTGTGCTTATTTTTAGTAGGAGTGTTGGATTTATTTGTGGTGTTTTGTCTTTGTTTTGTTTTGAAACAGGGGTCTCATTGTACTCCAGGTCAGCCTGGAACTCTCTGGATATCCCAGGCTGGTCTTAAATTTGCTGTAATCCTCCTGCCTCGCCTCTGGACTGCTGAGGTTACCTCACACCTACCTTTTCCTAGTCTTTTTGTTCAAGTATAATCAACATATAGACTAGGCCAAGGGTGGTGGTGTATGTGCCAGGCGGATCTCTGCGAGTTCGAGGCTAGCCTGATCTACATAGTGAGCTCCAGGACAGACAGCTACATAGTGAGACCCTGCCTCAAAATAAGTAAACAAACAAACAAAATAAATAAAATAAAAAGAAAGAGAGAAAAAGGCAATAGCCAGCTAGATGAGAGACCTGAGTCTGGGTGTACTATTGCATTGGATGGCTGTAGATAACAATGTGTGTATTTTTTATATAATAATAATAATATAAGAAGAAGAACAAGAAGGAAAAGACAGGTCTTGCTATGTAGCTCTAGCTGGCCTAGAGTATGCTATGAAGACCAGGCTGGCCATGAACTCACAGATATCCTTCAGATGTGTGTTGCCACGCCCAGCTAACAATATATATGTTTTAAAAGAACTGGAAGGAAATATTTAAGAGTGTCTTCACCAAAAAGATGTAAATATTTGAGGAAACAGATATGTTTACCCTGACTTTTTAATTTTACTTTTTTCTTTTTTTAATTAAGAAAATTTTTTTAATTTAAATTTTACTTTTAATTATGTATTTTGAGACAGGGTCTCACTATGTAAACCAGACTGGCCTGGAACTCCCAGAGATCACCTGCCTCTGCCTTCCTAGTCCTGGAATTAGCCCTTACTTACCCTGATTTGAATGTTACACAATATATATATACACTGAAGTATTACGGTGCCCATATATATGTACAGTTTTCATATATTAATACAAATAGGAATGAGACAAACATGCACAAAATTTTCCCACAGTGTGAGCAAACAGTCAGAAAAAGCAACAGATATGATCAAACCCAATAGCCTCCAGAATGTGCCCTGAGTCATAGAAGCGTGTGGGTGGGCCTGCGAACACCACGACCAGCAGGGGGACGGTCCATGAGAGGCAAGAAGGCAGTTTGGTTCAACATGACTCCGTAGCCGGTGTTGGTTCGGACTCTGGGAATCTGACCCCAGGAAGTTTATTTTAGGCACCTTTAAGCACAGCACAATTTGGTGGAAAGTCTTCTGGTGACGATTATCAGTCCCGTGTGCACAACAAAGCTTAAGATGTGTCGACATGGACACTCTTTGTAAAGTCCAAGTGACGTCGTCCATAAAGAAGGGTTCTATAGATTAACTGAGAAAACAGGCTCAAGATGAGGAGGAGGATCCGGTGTGGTCTCAGCCACACAGATGGCACAGAAGTCACCAGGCTATTAACCATGTCCACTCCCAGCCTCCCAGGTGGAAAACAGGCCATATAGCCCTCTCTTTGAAGAGACAGCCTTGTGTGTTTAACATGCCTAGTGCTTATCTGTGAGCGCGAGGACCTCCATGCCTCCTGCAGTAGAGATCCTGCTAGTGGCGTTTGTTTTGAAATCGGGTCTCACTGTGTTAACCTGGTTAGCCTCAAATTTCCAAGCTCAAGTGATTCTCTGGCCTCAGCCTCCCGAGTCGCAGTATGTCACTTGGAGTTGCAGCTATGTGCCGTCGTACCCTGATAGGCACATTATTTGTTTTGCTTGTCCCATGCTTGAGGTCAGACTCAGGGGCTCGTGTGTAGTAGGTAAGCTCTCTACCACGGAACTACATCTCCAACTCCTTAGGGGTCATTTTTGAAGCTGCTTTCCAGCCGGAGAGATTGGTTCAGGGCATAAAAGTCGTTGGTGCCAAGACTTAGGACCTGAGTTCAGTCCCCGGCACACACATGGTAGAGGGAGAGAGCCCACTCTCAGCCTCTCCTTTCGTCTTCACTGTGTGCCGTGGCATGCTTACCCCACACACCTACGTGCACTAAGTGAATAGATATACTAAAATGCAGCAGCCACGTTCCCCCTTCCTCTTATTTCTCTTAATTAAAATTACATAATATAGAGCTGGGTGGTGGTGGCGGCGGCGGCGGCGGCGGCGCACGCCTTTAGTCCCAGCACTCAGGAAGCAGAGGCAGGTGGATCTCTGAGTTTGAGGCCAGCTCGCTCTACAGAGTGAGTTCCAGGACAGCCAGGACTCCACAGAAAAGCTCTTTCCTCCCCACCCCCCAAGCATACACAGGGGCTGGAGAGACTGCTTGGCAGTGATGAGTGCTGGAGGTTCTTGAGGAGGCCCTGGGGTCAGTTCCCAGCACTCACATGGTGGCTCACAACCATCTGTAACTCCAGTTCCAGGGGATCCAACACCCTCCTCTGACCTCTATAGGTACTAGGCACCATATGTGGTGCGTATACATTCATGCAGGCAAAACATTCATACATGTAAAATAAAATAAATAAAAATTTAAAAAAATTTTTTTTTCTTTTCTTTTGTTTTGTTTTTCGAGACAGGGTTTCTCTGTGTAACAGTCCTGGCTGTCCTGGAACTCACTTTGTAGACCAGGCTGGCCTTGAACTGAGAGATCTGCCTGCCTCTGCCTCCCAAGTGCTGGGATCAAAGACGTGTGCCACCACCACCCGGCCAGCCTAAGTGACTTCTGTGTTGTCTTAGGGCCAGGCCAATCCCGACTCCCATGGGCATTATGTTTACCTCGGTCATTCTCTCCAGACCCTTGAGCATTGTTTCTAACTCAACAAGAATCCATCTTTTGGATGAAGCCATGTGTACTTTGTAAAGAGCTTCAGTGTAAACATGTCTTGAGCTTTGTTGTACCCACAGGACTGAGTTAATTGTCATCTGAAAACTTTTCCCCCCAAAACTGTGCAGTGCTTAAGTATGGCAGAAATAAACGAGCTGACTTCAGACTCTCAAAAGTCTTTGCCCAGCACTGGTTACCTAAATCAGACTGAACCGAGTTCCATTCTTAGCTCCTCATGGACCATTTCCCTGCAGTCCAGAAAGCCTGTGGGGACCCTCCTCATTCATTGACCAGTGTGGCAGCCTCATGTGGCCATTTAATTAGGATTAAATAAAATGTAAACGTGCCGTGCCTCAGTCTGCATCCTGGGTGTTCATTAGCCCCATGTGTTTGTAGCTGACAGAGAGATGCAACGTTGTTGAAACAATAGAGAATTCTGTTCACTCTGTTGTTCTAGAGGCATTTTTAGGTGTATTTTTTTTTAAGATTTATTTATTTATTATATATACAGTATTCTGACTGCATGCCAGAAGAGGGCACCAGTTCTCATTTACAGATGGTTGTGAGCCACCATGTGGTTGCTGGGAATTGAACTCCGGATCTCTGGAAGAGCAAGCAGTGTTCTTAACCTCTGAGCCATCTCTCCAGCCCGTTTTGTTTTTTTTTTAAACTGCATGTGTGGTGTGAGTGTGTGTGAGTGTGCCACTGCATGCAAGTGGAAGTCAGAGAACAGCTTTATGGAGTCACATCTGTCCTTCCTTCTTTCTATGGGTGCCAGGAATCAAACAGGTTGCTAGGCCTGTGTGGCAAGCGCCTTTATCTGTGGAGCTATCTCACTGGTCTAGGTAGGTTTTAGTAGCAAATATGAACAGTAAGTCAGCTTGCTAACCGGAAGTAGCTGGAGACAAGGCTGCTGAAGCTTCTGTGTGGATCCCGACATCTAGCACATCCAGTTCAGAGCCAGGACCCCCAATCCAGTTTGGCACGAGGATTGGAAAGTTTGCTACTGTTGCTGTGGACACTAATTGGGAATTGTCTGTCTCACAGCTGCCAATGGGCTTTGCAGTGTATGGGTGCCTTGAAGGCAGATCCCTCCTCAGGTATGGGGAGGGAGAGATCAATGATCATCAGAAGAAGCTGCCCAGTCTGTCCCTAGCACACAGTGCGGAGGTGGGTGGTGGCACAGGATGTTTCCTTTCTCTGGCTTTCATAAGTGCTAATTTGGGGATGGAAAGGTAGATGGTTTGGAAGGAAATATAAGAAACTCAGAAAGCTGGGCGGTGGTGGCACACGTCTTTAATCCCAGCACTCGGGAGGCAGAGCCAGGAGGATCTCTGTGAGTTCGAGGTCAGCCTGGTCTACAGAGTGAGATCCAGGACAGGAACCAAAACTACATGGAGAAACTCTGTTTCACAAAAACCAAAAACCAAAAAAAAAAAAAAAAAGCAACTTATTAAAAAAAAAAAAAAATATATATATATATATATATATATAGGTTTTTTGAGACAGCGTTTTACTGTGTAGCCCTGGCTGTCCTGGAACTCACTCTGTAGATCAGGCCTGCCTCTGCCTCCCAAGTGCTGGAATTAAAGGTGTGTGCCACCACCGCCCCACTGGCCTTTTAAAAATTTTTTTATGTGTGTTTGTTCATTTTGTTTTTTAAAGATCACACTCACGAATCTGGTGTCAGTGAACGAGAGACTGGTGTACACACCTCATCCAGAGAACCCTGAAAAGTGAGTCATCTCTTCCTGGGATAGACACATTGAACAGCAGGGGAGGATAGAGCCTCCTTCTCAGGTTGATCAGCCCCTCACTTCTGCTCTTCTGCAGGACTGTGCTCACCCAAGAAGCCATCATCACTGTGAAGGGGATTAGCCTTGGGAGCTATCTGGAAAGCCTAATGGCTAACACGATATCCTCCAATGCAAAGAAGGTGCATACCTCAGGATGGGGCCTGGTGTACTTGGTGGTAACGTGCCAACTGAAGTGGTGACATGTCTGGTCCTCCTGAGGACTGGGGTCTTTGTAGCTGAGCTCTTAAGGCCACAGCATACCCCACTGTGTTTCTCTAGTGGGAACGTAGCTTGAATAGAACTATGTTCTATTTCAAACTATAGATACAGAAAGGCTGGCTGGGATCTGAGGGCAAAGGCATCTGTCCTAGTCGGTTACTATTGCTGTGAAGTCCATTCCAGTCTCTCTGGTCTCCAAGCTGGTGCATTCTTTAACTCATTAGAGAAATTTAGGCATTAAAGACATCCCATTGTGTTTCTGAGCTTGAATACCCTGCTTACGTGGACCATGACTCAGGAAAGTTATTGCCACATCGTTGCCACAGGAGTTTCCTCCTGTGTCGCAGGTCAGTGACTTGCTGCATGCAGCAGGAATTGAAGTCCTTCTGTGTTGTTGCAGGGGTGGGCTGCCATTGAGTGGATAATCGAACATTCCAAGAGCGCCATAAGCTAACAGGTCTGCACCCGTGCCTGCTGAAACAAGGGGACAACCGCAGCAACTTCTTAACCAGGTACAGAGCTCTAGCTTTTTATTACCCGTGCGCATGCGGTGCATGAGAGAACGCTTGTTTGTCTGTCCTGTGCTTCCTGCTGTCTGTCCATCTTTCATTTCCTTGGTTTGTGCCAAGACATCTTTCCAGGGTATACCTATTGGTGAAGTTATTAAGGCCACTCCACATAGTTAAAAGGGAGGTTTATTTAGTGGCGTAACATACAAATGAAGGGATAGGTAGGTTGCAGGGTCTGGGAAAGATGCAACGCAGTCCGGCGGTGTTCTCTGGAGAACTCTGCTCAGTCTACCTCCAGCGTCCAGGGGCCAGGAACCAAGAGAGATGGCGCATCCAGATCTCCGGTCTCCAGGGTCCTCTCTTGGCCTCGCCTTGTAGGCATGACAGTTACCGAAGCCTCAATGGGGGTTGGAACTTCCAGATCAAACCTGGAATGGCTACCCACTACATATACCTGAGCTGTTGTCAACTGGAGTCTGAGGAAGGGAGTGTAGTGCTTGCTGCCCTGAGGTCTCAGTACCTGGCTGCCTGAACGTCCCTCAGGATTGTCACTGCTGATGAAGAACCTCCATGAATAGGCCCACAGTGTTATGGCAGATTTAATCTTGAGTGTCTTGGTCTTGGGCAGAATTTGCACTTTCTGGAAATATTGTTATCATCTTTATTAGCTGGGGAACGGGACCCTGGACCTCACAACGGCTGGCTTGAGTAAGCGCTTTACCTCTGCCCTGCACTCCCAGTCTGTCCACGTTCCTCTGCCTGTTTAGTCACTTGGTGCCAGTGTTCAGCGACTGGGTTGTGTCACTCTAGTGGCAGAGGCTTTTCTATTTGCTTCATGAACTGCCCAGGTGTTCCTTGGCTTGCTCAGCCCCCAGGAGTTTGACGCTTGATTGGCTGGCACTCATCATCACAGAAAGAGTCCCACTTCCCTTCCGGAGGGGCCCTCCTCACTTCCTGGCTGGAAACCCCTGTGAAGCTGCTGCCAGCTACTGCTCGCTTCCCTCCCCTGACCCCAGTGCTTGTGTTTGCTTGCTCGTGTGTCCCGAGGCCATCAAGCTGAGGGGGTTTGAGGGATCCTTAAGACAGCCTTGGTGCTTTTTCCTAAGTCAGCAAAGCTTGCCGGAGAACTTTACCTTGAATCCAAGGCCAAGACCTGCCATGGGGCCTCTGAGCCTCAGCCTAAGCTGAGCTTGTTGTGGGGGTCTGTGGGTGGGTCTGTGGGTGGAGAGAGGGAGGCCTGATGTGAGTCTAGGCTCCTCAGGTTCTGTTCCTTCGTAACTAGAGCTAAACTGTCCCCACCTCCAGTCAGATATCTCACCAAAAAGAGTCAAAGAAGAAAGGAAAGAAGAAAGGAGGAATGGGTGGACAAAGAAGATGAAAGGCAAGTGTGGATGTGGTTCCTGCCAAGTCTGGAAGAGGCGGGACCTGCTGGAATCTTCCCAGTCCGTGGTGACCTCCAGTACAGCATCAGGCCCAGGCACCAGCAGTGCGGGGCTCTGGTTCCTGGGAGTGGTGTGGAGCCCTCCTCTGCCAGGCTCTGCTGCAGGTACTGTGCCAAGACGGGACAGTACTGCCCCTGCGTTGGTTTTCACCTTTCACCTGCTTCCCCTGGCAGGAGTGCCACCCCCAAATGCTGAGTCCAGTTACTTCACCAAAGGAGAGCTCCCCTCTCCTCATGCCCTGCCAGCTAAGTCAGGGCAGGTCCCCCAAACCTTCCCCCGGGGCCTGGCTGCTGTCCTCTGTTCCTGGTGGCCCTACGTCCTTTTAGTGTTCCACTTGCCTCTGTGAAGAAGGTGAATAAGAAGTTGCTTTCTGACCCTCAGGGTCCCCATCATGTACTGTATCTAAAAAAAAAAAAAAAAGAAAGAAAGAAAGAAAAAGGGATGCAGAACTTTCTGCAGAGGCCACTGTGGGTTCCAGCGGCCACTGGGATTTTCAAGCTCAAACTGGCCTTGAACTCCCTGTGTAACTGAAGATGACCTTGAACCCTTGCTCTTCCTGCTTCCAACTTCCCAAGTGCTGGGATCACAGACTTGGGCCACTATCCTTGGCTCTTTTTGGTTATTGTTGTTGTTGAGACAGATCTTGCTGTGTGGCCCTGGCTGTTCTGAAACTCATGGCAGTCCTCCTGCCTCAGCATCTCAAGTGCTGGAATCACAGGTGTGCAGCGCCATGCCTGGGCTGGGATTCTTGTCAAGCCCTTACTGTCTTCTCAGCTTCTCCCAACTAAAAAAGAGAGGGTGGGGAGCTCGTGCTGTGTAACAGAGAGCCTTCCAGCTAATTCTCTCCCTCCTGCGGTCCTGGGGTCCTGCTGGCTGTGGGTGGTGGCTTTGTGCTCCTGGCCTAGTTGAAACCCCTCCCGCAAGCCCACTTCACCTCCTGCCTCAGTTCTGTGTTCCTCACTTTCTCTTTGTGGTAGTCTTTTCCTTTCTTTCTTTTCTTTTTTTTTTTTTTGGGTGTGTGTGTGTGTGTGTGTGTGTGTGTGTGTGTGTGTGCGCCATGTCTCAAGACAGGGCTTCTCTGTGTAGTTCTGACTGTCCTGGAACTCACTGTGTAGACCAGGCTAGCCTCGAACTCACAGAGATCTGCCTGCCTCTGCTGGAATTAAAGGTGTGCACCACTGCCGGGTCTCTCCTTGTAGTATTCTGAGTAACCCAGGCTGGCCTTCCACCCACCATGTAGATGAGACTGACCTTGAACTCCGTCTGCCTTTCAAGTACTAGAATTACAGGTGAGCACCATCATGCCTGGCTTTCTACCATCTTTAAATCAAGGTTGTTTTAAAACACTAAAGGTGTTTGTAGAAACATGTATATATGTATATGCAATTGATGTTTGTAGTTTAAAAGAGAGGCATTAAATCTATTGACGAGTATAGACCTCTGCTCTCCCTCCATCAGTCAACTCACCATTTTTACAGACCCTTCTAGAATCTTTCTATGCCTATGAAAGTTTATGTCTCTCTTTTTCTTTCATTAAACTTGGGTTCATACTGTAACTATCTTTGTGACTGTCTCTGTTCTACTTTTAAACAACAGTGTCCTTTTTTTATGCACATTTCTATCTCACCTGTGTGTGTTTGAGGGTGTCTCATCCCCTGGAACCGGAGTTACAGAGAGTTATGAGTCGCCATGTTGTTACTGGGAATTGAACCTGGGTCCTCTGGAAGAGCAGCCAGTGCTCTTAACTGCTGAGCTATCTCTCCAGCCCTAAACGACAGTGTCTTGAAAAGTCCCCGCAGAAAGCCTGGGTCGCGCGCAGTTCCTGAGGCCACTGAAGGCTTCTTGCCACAGTCCCCGCATCTGTCACTGTAGTAAGGTGGCGGGACCCAGTGTGACACTGAGGCTTCTTTTTGTGTGAACATCTCCTCGACACTTCCCCACTTTGAGATGGTTATAGACTATTGATTGACAGCTTGATTGGAGTAGGAAACACTTAGGGCATTAAGGAGGAACGCTCTTGGGTGTGTCTGTGAGGGCATTTTTAGAGGGGTTTGGCTGAAGAAAGGACACCTCCCCTCTCTGTGGGAGCACGGTTTGTCCCATGGGCAAGGGCCCCAGACTTAACAGAAGGGGAACAGGAGAATGTCAGCAGAGTACTGGTGTTCCTGTCCTGCTTCCTGATTGGTGCAGCCATGATGGGCTGCATCCTGTGAACTATGTCGAACCCTTCTTTCCTGAAGTCGCTTTCTGACGGGGATTTGGTGACATCAGTAAGAGAAGTATATAATACTCGTTTCGAGTGGATACCGACTTAAGGGAGTGTAGTCATCGCTTTTAATGTAAGTTCTGTGTAAAGCTGTTCGGTTTGTAGCTTCAGCTTTGGTTGGAAGTGGATTCCACAACGCTTCCTTTTGGGACTTCATCAGCATAAAAGTAAATGTTTTATGATCTAGTGTTGTTATACATAGACCTTAATTTTCAAGTTGAGAAAACAGGCAAAAGTCAGCTCTAAAAATACAGTATCGTGTCAGCGTCACACATCCCACTCCACGGCCGGTCAGTACCCCGCGTTCTTGGAAGAGACAGCTCAAAGGACAGCCTGGTATCCCAGGATGCTCCACAGAAGAGTTCCATAGATTCCCAAAGTAACAAAACCCACAGGGAAAACACAAACTAGAAGCCAAATGGGGGCGCAAAACAGATACAGTGTGTGCGGGAAGTCACAGGGGCTTCCAGGAAGGCCATAGTGCTGGCATAATCTTGGCAGAGTTGAGAGGCCTTGGAGTTCAGTCACTGACCCTTGAATGCAGACTGGGAGAACATGTAGGCTGCAGCCGTGAGAGTGTGAGACACCATGCAGGGGATGGAGGCTAGGCCAGGCCCACCGCTGTGGTGCTAGAATGCAGACTCGAGAACATGTGGGCTGCAGCCGTGAGAGTGTGAGACCATGCAGGGGATGGAGGCTGTCCCCCAGGTCTGCAGTCAGCTCACACTAGGAAAGGGTGCCGGTGGGCTCCTTTCTTGGTAGGAAGATTGTTTTGTTACTTTTAGGAAGTTGATTATACTTCCCCAGAGTCCATCCTTTCTCCTGTTCAGTATGTTGAGGGTAAAGGCTCCCTTGTACCACACTCTCACCCGCCAACAGCATTTGTGGTGCCTTTTGACCAATGTGGCTGGGATAGACTGTGCTCATGACCCTTGGTTTCTCAAAAAGCATGCTGTCCCCAGAGAGCTGTCTGGGCTTCAGGTGGTCCCACAGCACCCCTCATTCTGCACTGGCTTGCTGGTGGTTCTGATGCATCAACTGGGCACATGGCTGAGAAACAGTGGCCCTGGCAGTGTGTGACCTCCCGCCTGAGTTGTGGGGTCACTTGTTCCTGCCTGCTTGTGTCCTCCTAATGTTCCAGCCATTCCACATGCACGGGTTACCAGAGCATCATCTTCCTATGAGCTCGGCCTTAGTGTGAATGTAGGACATGGATTGTAAACTCCATTTGTCTAACAAGTAATTCAAAATACCTGTTTCATTTTCGGTTGGAATATGATTAGAAATTTCTTCTTTATTGTTCAAACAATTAACTTGTAGAGGAGAAACAGAAAGATAAGGACAGTTATGAAGAGTTGTTGGCTATTGGGCCAGTGAGATGGCTCTGAGGAGACTCGCTGCCAAGCCTGGGGACCAGGAACTCATATTGTGGAAGGAACAACAGACCACTACAGGGTGTTCTCTCTTCCAGTGGCACACGCACAAACACACATACACATGGGAGTAAGCGCAGTTTTAAAAATTTATTTTCCCCTGTGTATGTGGTGTGTGTGTGTGTGTGCATGTTGATGTCTGTGTACACATGAACTTACATTTGTGTGCACATGTGGAGGCCAGAGGCCTACATCAGGTGTCTTCCTTCTCTCTCTCCACCTTATTTATTTTGGATTTTTGAGACAGACTCACTATGTAGTCTTGGCTGGCTTGGAACACCCCATGTAGACCAGGTTGGCCTCCAACTCATAGAGATCCACCTGAGTGCTGGGATGGAAAGCCTGTGCTACCACACCCAGCTACCACCTTCTCTTTTGAGATAGGGTTTCTCACTGAAACTCGGAGCTCACAGATTTGACAAGACTGGCTAGCTTACAAGGTTGGGGTCCTCCTGTCCCAGTGTCCTCTGCACTAGAATTACAGGCACAAGCCACTCTGCATGGCTTTTTTCCATGGGTGCTGGGGACCGGAACTCAGGTCCTCACGCTTGGTACAGGTTAGCACTTTGCTGTCTAAACCATCTCCCCCGCCGCTAAATTGCTGTTAATTTAAAATAGATTTGTTTTTTATTGGTGGATGTGTCACAAGAGTGCAGATGCCTGTTGAAGCGGATGGACTGAACCACATCCCCTGGAGCTGGAGTTGCAGGCAGCTGTGAGCCACCCGGTGTGGGTGTTGGGAACTGAACTCTGGTCCTCTGGAAGGACAGCCAGTGCCCTTGTCTGCTGAGTCACTTCTTCCACCGCCCCGGAGAGAAGTCTTGATGAGACATGATGTTACACCACCAGGGAGGAAGTGTAGGAACTTGTCTCCTAGCCCACTCACTAAGCCCAGCAGCCTGTTCATGAAACCCAGGAAGCCATGCTCGGCTTAGTCATAGCCACTTGTCAGGCCAATCCCAGATGCCTCTAGCGCCACTCAGTCATGAAGACTTGATATTCCAAATCGTTTGGTACAAACCATTTCAAACAGCCCTGGCTTGGCAGTGCCTACAGGAGCCAGGGCATTCAGTTGTTCAGAGCTTGCCCTACACTCGAAGCCCACCTGGGGACTGTAACATTTGTAAGGCTAAAGGTCCTGAGGCTAGTACAGTGACTGTAATATTGGAGGGTGACACTAAGGTTGTGCTTGCTGCTTACTGCTCCCATTGAAAGGAAAGCTGCTACTGGGCTCGGTGCCTGCCCATGGTTCCTATCCAGGTTGGGCAAAAAGACTCTCAGCTAGACTAGTGACAATACCTCATGAGCTACCTTGCTAATATCAGTTGCGTGTGGCTTTGCTCTATACATGCATTTGTCCCACACCATCTTCAGGGGTGGCGGGACCTCCAGATTCTCAAGCCCTTCACATGAAATGGGAGTGTTTGTATGTATTCTGGAAATTTCTCCGTGTGCTAAATCATGTCTCATTACAGAGCCTCTAGCTGTCTCTCTTCCAGGAATCAGGCAGGCATCATGTGGAGTTGATAAGCGATCCATGCCAGGACCTGACCATTCTTCCAGAGCTGTTCGCCCCCCACAACTGTGAACAAGCCCACCCACCCTATCTGCAGGCCCAAGACAGCCACTCGTCATAACTTATCTAATGCTTTCCCACCGTTGATTCCTGGGCTTGGAGGCTACCTCATGTTGTGTGGAGCTCCCCCAATCCTTGATCTAGAAACCCCTAAGATAAGGCATTCTCTGTCTAGAAACCCATAAGGGAGAGCATCCACATCCCCTTTCTAGATTCAGAACCTGTAGGAACGGGAGGGCATTCCATTTGTTATTTCAGAATTGAAGGCTGTCTCCCTGTAAGACTCATGCTTCCAGTGGCAAGAATATCTGCTGATATTCTTGGGACTGGAGGGGATTGACAGCTCTTCCCCTTCAGGACCCTTGATGGCTACCTTTCCCAGTGAAACTCGTCTTTGGGCCCAATGGCTTGCTCCTCTCCTTCAGGGCCTCACCGTGGCTGCCTGTGTCCATGGCACTGTAACTTGTCCTCATGAAATTCTTCTAAGACAATTCATCTCAGAGTTTTTTCAGTGAACCTGCAACGTTTTTATTTTTAGGACTTTTTAAGTGATATAATACTTAATTTAGCATGCAATACAAATAGTTATTATAGTGTGTTGTTTAAGGAATAATGAGTTTCCAGGTTCTATCACTGAGTGTTTGGCAAGTAAGGAGTTAAGCATCGTGGGTAACTTGGTACTGTCACTCTTCATGTTTGCCACACATCACTAGAATGGTATTCAAGGGAAGATGGGTGTTCCCTCTTACAAGTTGGGTTTCCTGTACCCTGTAAAAGGGATGCTCTCTGCAGCCAGGCTTCCTTGTAGAGAATCACTAGGATTAATTCTAAAAGCTTCTCTACCCACCTGGCTTAGGAATCAATAGTAAAATCCTATCTATAGGACTGGAGAGATGACCCAGCTCTTTTTTTTTTTATGTATATGAGTGCTCTGTCTACATGTATGCCTGCATACCAGACTAGGGCATTGGATCCCATTATAGATGGTTGTGAGACACCATGTGGTTGCTGGGAATTGAACTCAAGACCTCTGGAAGAGCAGCCAGTGCTCTTAACCTCTGAGCTATCTCTCCAGTCCGGAACCAGCTCTTAAGAGCAGAAGATCACCGTTTCTAGCACCTATGTGATGGCTACTAACCATCTGTAACTCCAGTTCCAAGGATCTGATGCCCTCCTCTGGCTCTTAGGCACCAGGCACACATGCGGTACACATACGTGTAGGCAAACATCCATTCACACAAAATAAAAATAAATACAAATCTTGAAAACACACACACACAC